TTTACTGATCCTCACCCACGCTCACACTCCACATCCTCATCCGTCGTTTGTATACTATCTTAAAATAAGAACTAGTAAATTATTTAACATATCTTAAAAAACGGCAAACATGAACACAGTTTCCGACATCCTGTTTTTATTGTTACGATCTTCCATCATTTTCATGCCAAACTCCGGTCTAATTTCACTTTTTTTTCTCTAAAAATCAATATTCGTTGTTCGTTGCGATCTTCTGAACAATTTTCAGTACGAACACCCTGTTCTTTTTTATTTTTGATTGATTTTTGTCATTCCGAACACCCTGTCTTTTTTCTTATGTCCGGAGATCGTAACGAACACATGCTACTGGAGATCGTAATGAAAAGTTGGTGCGAAATGTTCCTTTCCCTCGCACATCTATTTTTGATCGTTTTGATTTCTTCGTTTTTAGCGATTTCTAAATTTCAATTCATTCACATCACTTGAAACCAGGTAGGTGTTATACAGACTGAAATGTGAATTACTATGAATATGCGACTTTGAAGGATAAATTTGGCCAAATATCAACACCCAAATGGTTGAAATTTCATCGATGAAGTCAACATCTGTGTACGTAAAAAATTTGAAATAACTTCATATGTAATATAAACTCATTAAAGTGAAAAAGGCAAGGATCTAGGTGCTATCGTCTGGATCGTCCTTGCTCTAATTATAGTGGTTGCTACTGGAATAATCGCGTCCCTGGCATTTAAAGGTGTAGGTATTTTTTCTAAAGTAATATCTACAGAAAAAACGAAAATAGGAAGCACCACTAGCACGCTTACTACTACTACTACTACTATTACTACTACGACTACTATTACTACTACGACGACTACAGCAAACACAACAGCAAGTACCGTAGGTAATGTCATAAATGAGTTGTTTTCAATCTTCGTGTTCAGCAAACGATTTCTTCTTCAAAATGTAAGTGAGATCAGGTTGCGATAAAAATATTCTCTGTCAGAATTCGCTCAATATTTGTTCCAACATGGCTTTTCTTTTTTTCGGGTACATCTCAGCAAGTTCAATGCAATATTATAATCAATTCCTCTGTCGCTCAAAACATGCTTCAAATGATGTTAATTTACTAGAAATTTGCTATGGGATTAACTAAGAAGCCTTGTTAAGTGTTTTCCGCTCTGACTTCAACGAGTTTTTGGTCTATAAATACTATATGATGTCCTATCACAAACTCTTAGAGGATTTCGGTTTCTATCTCTTCCTTGAAACGGCATGAGTATATTTATTTTTCTCTTATAATGTATAGCATGCAATATTAAAACATCAGTCATTCAATCAAAGTGCCAATTTAAAAGCGGAACATTGTTTTTCTGGTATTGTTTTGTATCTATTATATCGACAGAAATCTCAATTACTTGTTTCTTTTCCTTGTCAATTTACAGAATTTTGTTTTTCGAATGAAGATTTTCAAGCACAGTGCTTCAAGTAATAGGATCCGTTTCCGCTATCGTTGATTATTTATGTGGGGTGTGGGTGTGAATGAGAGGAAGACACCGACACCCACACCCTAGATTATTTGAATTAAATTTCATTTACTATTGCTTTCATGCATAATTATTCGTCTTATATCCACCAGTACTTGATTCTGGCGTCAACAGTAATTACTAGTAAAGTGAAGATAAAGTGTCACGGCTAATGCCCAGACGATTTGTTTGAAAGAATAGTCAAAACTGAACAAAATACAACGCTATCGAGACTTATACAGATAGTTCGATGGTTGGATATATTCAAGGCTTCTATGTCGATAAGCTTTCAAATAAAGAAATTCGAGCTCTGAAAGTTTTATTTCTAATGATGGATAAGTGTTACTATTTAGTTCCTACCTGTCATCTGTGTTCTGGATCAAACTATGGCAACACCTGCTACAACTGTACACAAATGAATGACGGTTGCGTTATTAATTGCACCTGCTTGTCGAGATCGCAAAGTAAAATCAACACGTCAATAACACTTACACCAAGTGTCGGTTATGGTTGCTTCCTTGAAAATACAGATGGGATACTTACCTGCGCGCGTTTTTGTACTTGAGCAGAACTTGAATTATAATTTTTTATATCATGACAGTATGCTATCAATCATAAAGATGGATTCTCGATTCTTTTAACTTTTCTTTCATAAGAAACGATTTCTCGTGTGAACTGGGAAGCAGAACATAAACAAAAGGATTCATTCTCGCACAAGTAATTCTCATCTCTCAAGAGACTTTCCCGGGATCCTGGATCAAATTCGACCGATTTCATCATGACTCGGGATGAATGGGACGGGGTGCGTTTTCTGTGAAACAGGAAGATATCAAATGTGAGAGATTGAATGTGGTTGCTATTTAAGCCGAAACCAAGTCATCATAAATGCATTTCGAAGGGAACTAACTTCATGCCCATAGATCTTGATAAGAGATCGTTAGAACCTCCACAATACATCAGCTTATACAGTAAATAACGGAGAATAAAACTTACAATTCAAAAAAGCTTCTATGTTGAAGCTGAAGTTTTCACAAAAAATTCAGTTGACTCCGACGAAGACTCCAAAATCGACGCCGTGCAGTGCTCTAGTATGGATGTGGGTGTTGACGAAGATAGAAGATCCACACCCATATCCACACTACTCTTTTACTTTCGACTCAGCACATCAATCGAAACGTTATTTCAATCCCTTGCTAGGATCACCCGAGAAAAATATTATTTGAGGTGTGTGAAGAATCGATTCCTGCATATTTGGCTTGACTCGACTCGGCTTGGGTCTATGTACCAAACATCTCTTTGTCGAAATTCTACTATTATGTTATTAGTTGAAGAATAATCAAATACTACAGAAAGATAAAGCATTCTTTTTACTAACACTATGTAATAAGAAAGTTTCCTCAGGCTTACTATACGGTATTAAAGTGTCACTGTCACTACTTTCGGAATGCCCTAAGTATATTAAATTTTTTTAGATTGGATTATTATATAGATTACGATTGAATGAAAACAATTTGCAAACACAAATCGATTAAGATTTATATAATTAGGATATCTCTTTGAGTCTTTTAGAATTTTCCTGTTCAAAGTACAATTGGCAGAAGCATTTCTTTTCGAAAGATTGTACATTTTCACTGGAAAAAATACGAATAAAAGTGATGGTAGATTCACTCGAGTGTGTCGATACAAGTTACGATGAATGTGAGTTTCGAAAAAGACCTGTCACGCTATGTTTCGATCTTGATGTTTTGAAATTTCATAAACCGAAAAAAATTTTGAAAATATTAGCTGAAACGAAACTTATCTTGGGTGTGGGGTGTAGATGTGGATATGTATGAGTTTGATGCTGATAAACAAAAACTCACACCAACGCACCTTCATTCGCCACACCCGCATTCACAGCAAGTACTGAAATACTCACGGAAAACGTTTTAGTACTTGCAACATTCCTGTGTGTCGGTAGTAGGGCCAGTGTTGAAATAGGTGTGGGTGTGGGTATTCGATTCACTCACATCCACACCCCGTTTGAGCGATCTATTTAAAACTCATCTGGTATAAATATCCAGTAATATGATTTTAAGAGTTTCGAAAGATATTTGACGTCTTTTCGATTTCGGAGGGTGTGGTGATCACTGTGTCGTTAGGATAGTTCTGGACTCACAACAAATCCTACATCCATAGCTTCAAGATTATCGTAAACTTAATGCTAGATAGCTAATTCCCTTGATGAATATACTCTTGAATATCGAATGGATAAAATGATAGGTCTGAATAGTTTAATAAAAATATTTTTATCTGAGTTACCTTTTCATTTCACTCAGTAATGTTGATAGATTTCAAACTAATTGAAATTTAACAAAGCGCTAAAGTGTGAAAGAACTGTATTCTCAGGGATCGCAAAATAGATTAATAGTTCTACTAATATCTAGCATTCTTTTGAATATTCGATGATAGTAGTATGGCATTTGAATTTTTACTAACTGAAGAACCTGATTGGTTATTGCATTGAAACTCAACAATTGTCTATTTACCGATTTTAAGATTCTACTGTCACTAAAGCACATATTCGAGTCGAATTTTCTTTCTTCATTGGCAATTGTCATTTCCTTTTGAGCGTTTCATTTTTTTTTGTACACAGCTATATTTTGCTATTGTCTGTAATATCACTTGTTTATTTTCAACTGTTTTCAATAATGAAAAATAGTTTCTTCTTCGATTGGTGCACTCATCACATTAATCATTATCATTACCGAAAAATGGAAAGTTGTCACAATTTTCCATATAAGAATGTGAGCATGAGTGGGTGTGTAAGCTCATCGTTTACTCACATACCCATTCCAGTTACACTCTTACCTCAACCTTGTATATAATTATGTGAGACATTTTTTTTGTAAAGCCTTCATTTTTTTTTATTGTCATATGATGATACTATTGTCCTGATGTCAAATTTGATCTACCTGAATTCAATTCTCTTGGCAATTCTTCTAGAAACTTCTATATGAAGAAGAGTTTAGAGACTACAAATACTATGCATGAAAACTGAGATTAATATCAAACTCTATCTGAAAATATAGAAAAATTCGAAACAAGCGAAATTTGTTACTTTTATCATTGTAAAAAGCAATATCCGAACTATCATCATTGTATCAGATTTTCTATTCGTGAGCAGATCTAAAAAATAGAACGTTGGACATCAAACAGTTTTTCATTTTCTCTTTTTCCACTGTAGTGATTGGAAAGTAGAGGAAGACAAAAGTCACTATTGACGTGTCGTTACAAAAAAAGGATTGAGAAGGTTTGTTTTTCTCTTTTTTTTCTGTCATGTGATTTAGCATACTAGTATTTAAAAACTAACCATGTGCACATAATGTTCGTTTTCTTGCATATATATCAATCGTAAATGTGAATCGATAAACGTGCACTGAGGCATAGAAAAAAGTACAGCTTCTTCACTGACGATTGTTGCAGACGAGTGTAGCTATGACGGATTCATATCAGATGATATCGGAACTAACGAAAGAGTCAATTGGTAAGTTTTTTACTTATATGAATGATTATCTTTGACGAATAGTATGTTTTTATCTAGAAGCTACGAAATCTTTTACACATCATGAGAAGCATTTGAAAAGTACGAACAAAGAGAAAATAATCGATATTGCTCAACTTAAACCAGGCGATCATATCAGTTTTTATAAAAGTGATTTTTACTATGCACATCATGGTATTGTACATGAATCCAGTCCTAATCATATTCGTCTTATACATTATTTTAATACAGCAGCAAATGTTTTGAATTCGTTGATCAAAGGTTCATTATATCTTGCTGAAGTTATTGAAAGTGAATGGAAATTAACAAGAAATAAGGATAGTGAAGAAATATATGTACATCATTATGATAATATGACATGTTTTTCGAATGAAGAAACTCTTGAACGAGCCATTTCCAATCTTGGAAAACGTGGCTATTCATTATTCAGTAATAACTGTGAACATTGGGCACGATGGTGTCGAACAGGTGATTCCTATTCAGAACAAGTTATTAATTTTCGTGATTTTGTTAAACAAAAAGCAGCTACACTCTTAATTGTTGATCCCATGGCACTACTTGTTAAAGATATAGCTATGGTTGGTACTGAAAGTCTTGGAACATTCCTCAGTGCTATTGGAACAGGTTTAATTCTTACGAGTGTTGAATGTATTTCAACATTCGTTGATATTAAACGAAAACAAAATGAACGACGACAAGGTGGCTTAAGTGAGATGGCCTTCAAAAAATATGTTGTACGTCGAATCACATCAGCATCCGTCACTGTAGGTGGTTGTTTTTTTTTGTAGAAAAAAAGTCGTAAAAAACTATGTATATTTGCTAAGATCATTGGATCAACAGCAGGCACTATTGTCGGTACAATTTTTATTCCTGTACCCGTTCTTGGTTCGATTGTCGGTGGTATAATTGGAACTGTAAGTGGGAAAATTATCGGTGGCCTATCGGGTATTGCATTGTCGAAAGTTGTTGAAGTATACGAGAAACAGAAGCGAGAAAAGATAAACGCGATGACAACTATTCCACAATTAGTCACTCAATTATCGGACAATGAACAACTTCTTCAAGGTTTAATGAAAGTAACAAACAACTCTAAACAAGAAACACCAATAGAAACCATTGTTAGAGAAGCGACGACATCTGACTCATCGAAATCGTCGTCATCACTCTATCCATTTTTTGAACAACTAATACGTCAATACTCGACTTTCACAGATGAAGAATGTCAAATGGCTACTCGACTCTCAGAGGATGTGTTTTCGAATTCAAATACTTCGGAATATTTTGTACTTACACCGCTACCCGACGAAAATTCACCTGAAGAATTTGCATCAGCAGTTGATTTGCTTGTACTTCGATGGCCGATGGGAAAACCTCAACCATGGGAAAATGGTGAAGAACAAGTACTTGACATCTATGAATTTAATGCAATAAATGAATCAGCCGAGTAGCGAATTTTGAACATTATGACTTGTGTAATATCAATGATGAACAAGTCAATACTTTTTTCGATTTCGAAAACTTTTTCGTGACTTATGATAAATAGCATTAGCAGAGAAGCGAGTACTGATTATATACTATGTTGAAATAACTTAACTTGTGACTTCAAGGTGTATGTCAAGTTTTTCTACGTAAAAAAAGTAAGGAAGTTCGATGCTTTGAACTCTGTCACACATCACCAGTCCATGTTTACTTACTCATATGACATTCAGTCTTTGAGCAGCTGCTCAAATGAGTTCTAAGTCAATTGAGTCTCATATGTGGAGAACAAACAAATTCTTCCAACATATACTCAATCAAGTCATGATGTTTAGACGAATTCATTTGAACATACGTAATAATAATATGGATGCATGCTTCTAGATTATACCATGAAACTATTGACGTTCTCAAACAGGCATAGGACATGAACTATGGTAGATTAGATGGAAGCATATGTAAGTTGATCGACAACACAGTATTCATCATGGTTATTTTTTAAGTACATCTATTGCAATTCAGATAATCAACTTTGGTCTGAGCATGAACGTTTTCATATATCTTGATTGTTGGATGTTATAAAACTTTTTTCATATTTTCGAAAACCTTTTTTCGGAGAAGCAAAGATCAAAATTCCTATTTTATACAAACCGAATATGGATATATGAATTAATGACTTTTTCTTGTTAGTTTTCATGTTATCGTCTATAAAAATGTTTTAAGGCCCATATATACAATTATATGTCTTCACAAGGCTAACTTTGTGAGATATGATTGTTGAGTGTCCGCTGTCTTTTTCAGCCTGAACTGTTCATATTATTTCTTGCAACGCAACACATAATGGTAATCTCATGAGATGTCGACCACACTTACGGGCAACATCTTTCAATTGAGAAAAACTTTGAAAATTTATAGAATTCTCTTGCTGATCATTTTCGAATAAAGAAGTCTTAACTTGATGGTAATTTAGAGCGGCATGGGGTGAAATACTTCGTGACATACACCGTATTTTATTTTCGAAAAATATTTGACTATTTCACAATTCCATACTACTACAATTGAAATTCATTCATCGGGTAGATGTAGGTGTGACTGATGTGACACCCACATACACATCTTTCGTACTTAAGCAATCACCAATTGACTGGTCACTTAGTTTTTGATTCAAAATAATTCGTTAAATGCATTTTATTTACGATAACTGAATAAAAATTAAAGAAAAAATCAAGTCACATACGTTGTAAAAGTCCAATGTTCAATGAATGTAGAAATATTTATGTTAGTTTAACAAGTATTGAAAAGTAAATTATATTTATCGACACGACTACTCATATATGGCGCTGATGTATACAAATTATCCTTGCTGTCGAGCCTTATTCTTGCTAAATAATAAAAATATCCTGGAATTATTTATGTGAAACTTGATGCACTAGCTATCCACATAATAATATTGTTGCCATTAGGCACGTAGACATTTCCAGAGCTGTCAACAGTCAGGCCACCATTATTCCAAAAAGATGTGCTAGTAACATAGTGAAATAAATATCTACCATGTTGGTTTCCTGGGGAGAAAGTCAAGACATGACTAAAATACAAATAATGAATATTGGGTATATCCAAACCCGATAATCAAATATGACTTGTATTATGCTTGTGAAAAACAACTTTAGCTTAATTAATATCTTTTAAGTTCAAAATCTCTGTGTGACATCAAAATCAATTATGGATTAAAACTACCATAATGATAGAATACTTTGAGGTTTCTATGTCGAGATGTTGAAGTTTCACTTTTCTCCTATTGAACTTGACATTACTCTTTGTCAGAAAATGGAAGATGATTCGCATTTTATACATTATATAAATCCACAAGCTATCTACGCTACACTTATGGGATGATCCTGTACCTAAACTTGGAGGAAATGTTTAATGAAATATATCTTAACATCAACTTACTTTCTCAGATAATATCTCTCCAGACTTTTTGTTGTCTCCAAGAAACAATCTGATATGGTTTGTGTAAACAACATCAATCGCGGTGCTGTACCTGTTGTCCACATCTGCGACATAAAGGGTATTGTTTTCATCGACGAATCTTACTCGAGGATTATTCAATTGATCTAATTGTGATCCTAATATGTTTGTTACATCTGCAACAACAGTAGCAAAAGCATTATTCGGTATAATTTTGATCACACGATGATTGTTATTATCAGAGCAGTACATTGCACATTGAGTTTCAATAAAGACTGTGATACTATTAATCCAATTACTTGAGTTATATTTCTGCAGACGATAATAATTAATCCAAGATGGCATCACATATTCAATCTAAATATAAAATGAGATGTTAGTTTAGATATCATTATTATTATGATAGACATATAAAGTGATTTACATATTCGAGGTTTATACGTATTGATTGCTCCATTTGAGTCTACAAATACCCTGTCGAATTACCAGCACCAGCTACGGGCACTCTCATGTAACTGATGGCAACAAACTTGAAAATTTGTTTACTATAGAAATCGATGTCTTAGATATTGTCAGTAGAATCAATGCCAAAGTCGCCAAGTGAGAACTGATAGATAACTATTCGATGTTGAAGATATAATGTCTGTTGCATTGTGTTCTCATGCAGCATTTGAACAAATTCGAGTTATTGTAGAAACTATCTGAAGTATAGACGAGAGAGAAAACCTCATAATACTTCTAGATTCATTTAACATTGAGTAAGCTTTTCAAGTAAGAGAGAGCTATTTTCGAATTCGATATCTGAGGCACAAAACTAGATTCCATGTTGTGTTTATCAAAGAGAAGCTATACAGAAAGACGAGTCTACTTATATGAATCGATCGGATTTAATGTTTCTTGAGAGAGCAAATATAGTAGCACATCGTTGACAACATAGTATCCTTCCTTGATATAGCGATGATAGTATTCCATGTTGTTGTATGAAATATGAACGGAAATGAGTGTTCAAATGTATTTTACGTTTTTTGATGAGGAAATTATATCAAATGACTTGAGTGTAGTCGCTATTTTAGGTTCTAACAAACGCATATGAGCTTGCAGCTCAATTTCGTGAAAAAGACAGAATCGTATGCCTAGTACATGTGTGTTTTGAATAAAACAATATACGCTACGAAACAGATTTCTTGAAGTCAACAATACTGACTCAACTTAGATCTTCCTTTATGTTTTATTGGTGAAAGAAAATTTGAATAGCCCTCATCGTCGACCAAAACAAAACGAGCTCACTCATTTAAAACTGAGTTAAGATGTTTTGTCTTTATGTCGTATGGTCAGTTATGACAAAAGTGTAGATATCATCACAACACCATTCAGAATTGAATCAATGCGAAATAATCCATCTTTTGGCATTGATGATTTTCAACGTTTAGCATTATTGACCAACAATCAATCGAATTAATTGAATTAATAAATCAAACACCTTTTGTCATCAATTTAAACTTGCTAAGGAATCATTCTCATAAGAAATTCTTCAAACGAAAACCTATCTGAATTAGTAGTATTCTGTGAATTACATTGAATGGAAAGAGCTAATGGCATATAAATCGGTGTCGAACAACAACTATTGATAGCACAAATACTTGTATTTGTCGAGCATCTTGTACCACTGATACATGTATCAAACAGAGAACAGATACTTTGAGGAGCATAAAATGTCGTATTACTCGATGTCTTAAATTGATAGGAGATTGGCGATGAAGGACAGCTGTCACTCGATGAGGACACACTATTACATCGTGCTACTGCACAGCTAGGTGAATATTTTATTGTTTGCCCTATCAAAAAAAAGAGATTGTAATGGGACGAACAAACATATTATCTTAATATTCATCTTGAATGGGGAGCACCCCGACTGGGACCGTATTCGTCCCTACTGAATTCGTCCCATACTAATTAATTCCGAATTCGTCCCGTGAAGAAAAAAATTAATATTTCGATTCCGAATTCGTCCCGTTAAGAAAAATATTAATATTTCGATTCCGAATTCGTCCCTTCACATTCGTCCCTATTAAATTGTCTTTAATTAATAGTAGTTAATAGTCAATGATCTACTTTATTGCTCGGTCAGTTTATAGTAGGCACGCTTGCGCCATATCTTGAATGTGTTTAAAGTAAAAGAGTGTCCTTATTTTATTCAATCAAAACAAATAAATTGGATCGATTAAGTCGATACTATTAATAATTTTTTTATTATTATATGGTTACAAATGAACAACGAGAACATACTGGGTATTGATTTAATGGTGCAATCGGTTTAGCCTTAATACCTCCACAATTTATTCAAACTACTTGGGTAGATTTAATGGATAATTTCACGCCTGATACTGCTGGTGGTACTGCATTTAATGATTATATCGTGTCGACTTATATTGATTATAGTTCTGCTCGTTTTATATGTGATCTATGGAATGTTCATTCCGAAATTGTTGAACGTTTTCCACGTACCAATAATCATGTTGAAGCATTCAATAAAAGAATGAATTCGATTTTCCCAACTCATCCTCATATTTTCAATTTCATACAATGTTTACGTCAAGAGCACGAATTTCAACACCATCGTGCAGAAGAATCATTGTTCAATGTACGCAAACGTAAAAAGATAAATGAAAATATTGATTCAATGCTTCTATTTAATCTTCAACAATATACTGATGGTGATCTTACTGCTACAGAACTTGCTATCAAGTGTGGAGAATATGTAAAAATAAATTATACTATTAAGAAATGATTTTTTGTAATTCTATGCTCATTTGTGTCACTATTTTCATATATCTTTTCAATAAAATGTCAGATGGTTATATTAATTAATAAAACATCTTATTAATGTCTTCTCGTGAATTAGTTAGGGACGACAGTGGGGACGAATTCGGAATCGAACTTTTAATATTTTTCTTAACGGGCCGAATTCGGAATCGAAATATTAATTTTTTTCTTCACGGGACGAATTCGGAATTAATTAGTATGGGACGAATTCAGTAGGGACGAATACGGTCCCAGTCGGGGGCAACCCCCAAATTTTAACCAGTCGAGAAAGAATTTTCACTTGGCTAATTAGTATCAATTGCAAAAATGTAACACAATTAAAAAGAGTTGAAAGTTAATTCTAGAAAGTTTTGATTAATTCTGCTTTCTTTCAACTATTATTTTGATCAGTAATCGCTGACATGAACGTGTCTTCGACGTTCGAAGTATCTCGAAACATTTCTTTATTTCACACAGAAAGACGGTTTTCTTCCTCGAAAGACAGGAAGAAAGGCCATTATCGAGTTTTTTATTTTATTTAATAAGCTATTACTGAGTTGAAAACAAATTATTACCACATAATTAAACAGACATGACACTAACTCTGTTGAAAAACTTAGAGTCTGTTTCGTAACTTCTCATTTACTTATCTTTTTCTTCTATTTTTCTATCTTTATACTTTTGTGTGCGTCTCTCTTCTTTTTAATCTAACCTTCCTTTATGCAATTTTATTTATTGAACTGTATTCTCCATTCAGAAAAAAAGACACAACAAACACATAGAAATCTATTGGTTTTTTAAAATGCATCCTACCTCAGTCAAAACGTTTTTTTTTATATTTCCTTCCCTGAAATTTTGAAGAGTCGGATCACTACTAATTAAAATAAATCTAATTAATTTGTGATTTAATTTAAATAAGACGAAAAACAATTATTTCATTGGTCTTTTTATTGAATATATCATTCTATTGTTAATTATTTGAAGAATCGATTTCATGTTTTTATATTTTAAATATAATTAATCGAACAAATAAAATAATTATTGATTTTAAATAAAACTAATTTTCTTATGAAATAATTCTTATATATCGATTCTATTGAAAAATGAAACAAAGCAATATGATTTGTCGGTCAATAAATCAAAGGTGATTTGTTTTAAAATAAAAAAATTTCAATGGATTTTTGATTATTCGAATATTTCAGCAAATGATAAAATAAGAATTCTTTTCTTTTCTTTTCTTTTCTTTTCTTTAAAGTTAATCAAACATGTTTTTTTTTGTTATGAAAAAAGTCAATAAGACACGAAAAGGAACAGCGGCAAGTTGATTTGTTTGATATATTTGCAGGTGTTTTTTCATAAAAAAAACGAACAAAAGAAAAAGTAAAGATATATTTGTGAAAAATTTCTTCATTAAATCCTATATAGAGTTTCTTTTAACAAATAATTAAGAAATTCTTTTGAAAGATTTTTATAAAAAATAATCGAAGCAAACAGATGAGAACAATAACAATATGAAATAGAGGTCAATTAAATCAATTGATGCTCTCTATTTAATATCTTACAGATCATTTAATGTGTCATTGACACTTTAGCTATTGTTGTCTTTTCTATGAAAACAAATTCTTTTCTTTTCCTTTTTCTTTTTTTTTTTGTAATACACAGAAGCGATGTTTGATGAAATATATTAAAATGGACTAATTTGTCTTGTGTGTTTAATGAGGATAGTTGAATCAGAAAAAAAAGATGAAAGAAAAGAACATAATCATGATGTCATATGAACAAGGATCAGCTTATCAATTGAAGATTATGTAATTGATTATGAATATCTAATCTACTACTCGAACAACAATATTCTTTTCCATTTCAATGAACTATTTCTCTTTAGTCAGTTTTCATTTCGAAGAAGAAAAAAAAAAGGAAATGTTGACCAATGATATTGTTTTTTTCTCCTTCTTTTTAAAAGTGAATAAAATAAAAGACGAAGGTCATTTTATAAAATGATGGAAATAGAAGAAGAAGAAGAAGAAGAAGAAGAAGAAAAACAATCTGAACGAAATCGTGGTGGAAGAAAACAAATTAAAGTCGGTACAACACGTCGAAATGCTCGTGAAAGAAATCGTGTCCGTCATATAAATGCTTGTTTTGAAATTCTTCGTCAACATATTCCACATGATAAACATAATAAAAAACTTTCCAAAGTTGATACACTTAAATCAGCTATGATTTATATTGAAAATCTTCGTCAACTTCTTCAAGCAACAACTACGACGACAACGATGACGACAACAACAACAACAACATCAATTATTTATCCCGATAATCAATCAAATATAGTTATTCCAATAAATCTAAAAGGTGAAGATATTTATTATTGGCATGATCAACATTATTTATCCGAATAAAAATTCATTACATAAATATAATAAAAAGTTATCTCCCGTTGAGTTTGATTCATATTCTATAATTATATTGTAAAAGAAAGGCACGTATTGTTCATCGTTTTAAATCCCCTGCTGTTTTTAAATATGTTTAGTTGATTGGAATAGAAGTAGACAACTAATTATGTCAATATATGTATATATAAATGTATGTTGATGTGTGTTGATTGAATAGAATGTTGATTCGTTGTTTTCATTGTAATATTCATATTAATTCTCATTTCTCTTTCCACTCAATGGCGTCGATGACTTTCTATTTGCCTTGTTAATAATAACATATATGAATGTATTTCCGTTTTAATATCGTATCCGGTCGAATTGTCTTCTATCCGGTCATCAATGATGATGAATGATTCTATTCATTCAATATTCAATATTAAATGAATCCTTTCAATTTAATCCAAATCAATATGAATATTTATCTTTATCAACAATTAAAGCAACATCATTTATTTAAATAATGATCATTTATTATTATATTTAATTTTTTCTTTTATTTATATCACTTTTTTTTTTCTCTTTTAAAAATAAATTTGACAATCTAACATATTTATATGAATCTTTTTAATTATTTTATTTTGAGAATGAAAACGAAAATATATTAGATTAATTTTAAAGATTTAAGAAAAAAAGTATTTATTTATAAGGATAAATGTTTGTCTTTAAATGAAATAATATTCTCATTTGATGATTAGTCAACCAGTTGACACATATGATTTTATTATAAAATAAGATAAATTATTCTCTACTTTGTTCGTAAATCTACTGAATAATATCTTATTCAGTCTTTATAGAACTTAATTCATTATATATATTTATTATAAATTTGAATCATCGACATGTTATCAAATAAATCTGAGTCAAGAAAAAAAAGCAAGTATGGTGATTCGTTAAATAAACAATTATGATTGTTAGATAATTATATATAAAATCGTTTTTAATATTTGTTTATTTGTTCTAATGAATGATTATTTTATAATAAAACGTTATATTTAATATCGAAGTAACAAAGATGAAATGTTTTCAATTTCAATCATATTGAAGTTAATCTTATTTTTTAATCTTCTCACCTATTTTAATTACTAAATCTTATCAAAAAACAAAATGTAATTCTCTATCAATTATATATATTAGGCAAATATGAATATATTATATTAGAATGAGACTTATTCAACATAGAATTATATATTAGACGAAACTCATTTATAATTATCTCATAAGAAAAAAAAATTCGACACACGACATATTAATAATTAATTCAATATAGATCGAGATGTTTCGCCAATATTTATTTAGAACTTAATAAATAAATCGATTCGAACGTTTTCAGTTAATTTAGAGAAATATTTAACTGTTTAGAATAAGAAGAAAAAAAATTAACAAGATTTTTTTTAATATTCATATCAAAGTTTCTTTCACAAAATTAAAAATCGATCGTTTGTTTTAATTCTAAATATTTCAAATAAACGTTGTTTGTTCATATAACCTATGATGCAAAAGTAATGGAACAAATGTCGGGATCTATTTCTTTTCGAAAAAAGGATGTTAGACAAAATTCTTTTTTACTAGCAGAAAGAGCTTTTTCTCCTCTTTCGAATCGTATGTAGTTTATGTTTGCAACATGTTCATGGATGAAACGACATCATAACAAAAAGAGAAGCATCCATCCTTCAAAAGAATCTGCACTTTTTGTGAGATTCAGAAAAAATGGCACAAAATGTCGGTCCTTAGATCTCTTCAATAAATCGTTTCTGAAGAGAATATTTTTTTTTTTTATCAGTTGATAGGAAATTGTCTTCTCTATCGAACAGTGTATGATTTATATTTATCAGACATTGGTAAATAAACTGAGACAAGAAAAAAAAGAACACCCGTACAGTCAATTCGTAACTTTTAGATGCATCCGTCCAAAACATCTTGTTAAATAACAATTATTATTACATGAGTGCTTCTCTTTTTTCTTGTCGTATTTCATTTACGAATATCTGATAAATATAAATCATACACTGTTCGATAGAGAAGACAGTTTCCTATCAACTGACAAAAACATATTCTTTTCAGAAACTATTTATCGAAGAGATTAAGGATCGACATTTTATGTGATCGCTTTCTACAAAAAAGTGCGAATTGTTTTTAACGGTGCTTCTCTTCGTGTCTTCTTAATTGCGAACAAAAATCAAAACAATTAGAAGACCGACAGTGTGGGTGAGGGCTGAAATTTTGTCCGCAATCAAGCTGTAGCCCTTCTCTTTTCTATCATGTTGTTTCATGAGTGTGTTGCAAGCATAAATTATATACGATTCGAAAGAGGAGAAAAAGCTCTATCTACTGGTAAAAAAAACATTTCTTCTAGTACCCTTTTATCGAAAAGAAATAGACCCCGACATTTGTCTCATTACGTTTGCATCATAGATTATTTAGTTTTCTTTTTCAATTAATTCTTCATTGTTGTCATGGGCTCCGTCTCAACTCATTCACAAAAATGATACAAAACTAATGATTTTTTTTTATTCAAAGATTTCATATCTATTATATAAAGGTCTTAAATGCTCTTTTTTTTTAATAAAAACTGACCTTATTAGTTCTATTGCTAGCTTATATAAACATATAGACTATCGAAAAAACAAATATTATCTGCAACTATTTTCATGATAATATTGAACAGAACTAAAAAAAAAATTTTTTTGATTGAATCATTTTATTCTAGAATGGTAGATATATGCGTTTATGTTGACATATATTATTTTCTAGAGATAAAAAGGAGAGAGATTATTATTATTAATAATGTTTATTTATCTATTTTTATTTTTCATGATTACAACAAGAAGAAAAAGTTCGTTCGTTTTTGTTTAACAATGACCATCCTATTCATATTTGACTTTTTTCGTTCCATGTTAAATTTTCGTTAAATCTTTTTCTTCGTATGCTTGACAACTTTCCACTTCAATGCTGTTTCAATGAGAAAGACACACGAGAAACTAAACGAAAAATAATTATCATTATAGTGTAGCTTACGTGGAGTTCATGTGGTCTCACATTTTAGTTTATCCTCTTATAGACCAGAGACCCAAACGAGGCGGGGAATTGGGGCGGGAAGAAATTAGGACGTGGCGAGGCGAGATGGGATTATGTTAAAATCCGCGAGTTTTTCTCGTCATAGCTTCACAATAGAAATATTAAGATATAGACTATGTATTTGAATAGTGAATATATAAACACTCAGGATAAGAGTCTCTGTGCAATAGATTATATATTCAATACTTCGTACAAGTATCAAAGTTTTTCGTTACCTATGAATAGTCTCTATTGAATTCTGTCTTTATCGTGGAAGATGAATAGCTAAAAAGGGTAAGAGAGAAATTCGGCGTCTATCGATAAACTGCTTTCTCAGATTAGACTGTCTAAAATTTTGCGACAGATGTTAAAAAAGAATTTGATGTAGAATTAATTTATACATTCATTTTTTTAATAAACACTTTTTCATTTCTTTGTAACATTAAAACAGCTGCATGCCACGAAAAGATCAAATACTCACCATTTCACTAGAATCAGATGCAGTTTTTATTTGTTAAATAGCTTCCTATACGATATTCAAACACACTAAGAAAAGGAGAGAAGCATATTTGTTTTGTAGATATGAAGCCAAACATTTGTGCAAAACTTTACTACTTAAAAGAGACATATCAAGTATATGTCAATAGTTATTGGACCGAGGATATATTTAAGGTAGTTTGTAGTTTTTCAACCAGCGACACATTAAGAATGTCCAACTAGGCACATTATTTCATGCGCTGGACAACTGTACATGGCTTACTTGAAGAAAAATGAAATTTGAGTCCAACCTAATTTGGCTAAATTGGATTTCTCAATGTCATGATTTTGAAGTTGAGAAGTTCACTTTTTCTGGCATTCAACAACTTTGGTGTTACCAAAATGCACCTAACGATGATTTAGCGGAAGAGATTTCGTTAAACTAACACAAAAATTTCCTATCTGTTAAGACCTCTCCCACCTCTCAAAAATCGATTGCAGCTCAGGAACGTTCAAATGGCATGAAATTTTCAGGACATGCTGGGGCCATAGTGGGAAATCTACAGCAAAATTTTCAGCCGCGTACCATGGCGTTTGAGAGAGATATTAGCCAAACAAGAGTGAAAAATAGCTCATTTGGCAAACCAAATTTCTCTATCGAGGCTCATTGTATATATTTAATTTTTGTTTGTTTGAAAGAGCATGTCAGAATGCAGGGCCTATCAGAGCGCTTGCTTTTGAATTCTTACTTTTTTTGCGGAAAAGGAGTGATTACAAGTTCAATGATTCAAAAAACTCTCTAAAATGGCGCTCTATTTATATAAGTGTTTGTATATTTAGTAAAAACAAAGCTAAACAAAAAAGGGCACTGGTGAGCACTGCAGCTTGACACGCTCTTCCCAACAAAAACAATGTTTAAATATTTTACCTGAGTCTGAACAAAGAAATTTGTGCTGCGCGTTCGAGATATTATGAATTAAGAAAAAGCGAAAATATTTTCGATTTTTCTGAAAACAGCTTATTAATCGAATAGGGATTGACAGAAATCTTTAAAAAGATTTTTGAAAAAACGGAAATGCCGGGTAAAAATTGTTGTCATTTATGAAAAATCAGACCACGGGCGATCTTCCTTTGCATTTATCTCAATCTTGCTAATTCTGACGAAAAGTGACTTTTTTTGAGGGGGCTTAATATCAGTATTAAATCTTGCGGTTGAATCCAACTTGACACAAGCGGTCCATCAAAAATCTGCTACGTCTTTTATCCCACGCTTTATTAAAGTTCATTTCTTCAACTAGAACTAGCATGACTAGAACTACCAACAACAGCTCAAAAAGCAAAACGTTGCCGAGCTTGCTGAACATGTCTGTCGAAAGTGACTTCGACCGCAACAGTTGCATATATGTCGAACTTGAAACTTGAATTCAATTGAAGTTTCAACTTCCAAGTTTCAACTTTCAAATTTCAACTTTCAAGCCTCAAATGGGCAGCACTGTGAAGAATCACCACTAACCCGCATTCTCACACACATCATCGCAGCTGGTGAGGGTGCGACGAAAGGACTGGCCACGAAACGACACATATCACATCGCAGCTGGTGTGGGTGCCGCGAAATGACTGCCCAGAAAAGGACCGGTCGTGAAACGACTTGAAAGTTGAAAGTTGAAATTTCAGTTGAATTCAAGTTTCAAGTTTGACACTACTGTTAAATTGGCATGTCACATATACCTAATTTCACACAATTCAGCTGCTGTCGACAGAGATTTTTCGGTAGCAGGGGAATTTATCAATCAAAGAAGATCTAATATACATCCCATAACTATTAATAATATTTTATTTCTTCGTTCTATAGAGAATAACAGAAAGGCTTATTAGTGACCGGTTATATTCTTTCTTTACTATTCTATTGTTGTGACTTTTTTCCAACATGAAGTCAAACCAATAATATGATCAAAGAAAAAAAAAGATCTCATAGATACATGATGAGATAGTGGAGAAAAAACAATCAAGGTTGAGGCAGGACGGGGCGAGGCGGGGGACTAAAAATCTGCCCTACTTCGGACTCTGTTCTAAACAAGCAGCTGAAAATCGAGCTTATCTAAGAGAAGTTATTCGAACAATTCAATTTCTTGCTCGACAAGGAATCAGTTGCAAGTTGTTCTAGTATCATTCAGATTTGCAATTAAAGATACAACGATGTTTTTTTCTCTTTGACTACCTTATATCTGTATATTTTAGTTCGTGGTCGCCGTGAAAATGTGGACTCCAAAAACAAAGATAATTTCTTAGAATTATTGTACTTAAGAAGCACTGATAATGAACTCATAAACAGAAAGGAAGAAGAGATCCATGCACTTTACAGATTACAAAATTCAAAATGAGTTAATTGAATTGATGAATAAACAGGTATTAAATCATATTGTACAACAAATTCAACAAGCTAAGTACTTTTCTGTCACGATCGATTAAACAACAGATATCTTTAGTAATAAGATATATAGATGAACGGTTCATGGGTTTCGAGAGAACAACAAAAATGACAGACGAAGCACTCTTTAATTTATTATTAGAATAGCTGAAGAAATTGAATTTAAATATGAAAAAATATTGTTGGAAAATCATATGATGGAGCCTCCTCTATGAGGGGCACGGGTACTAAAGCGTTACANCAGATTATAGACAATTCGGTATAGTTGCTGTTTTATTTGAGATGATTCCATTTATTAATTTAATAACACCAATAACAAATGTTATTGGAAGTGCACTTTGGGCTTGTGATATTGAAAGATTTAAAGAACCATTAAGACATCCAAGAAGTTATTTATTATCACCAAGTCCAGCTTTAATTGAACAAGAACAAACTGATTATGGAAGAACTGAATATGAAAAAGATAAAATATCCCCACCGAATTATCAAGATACTATCCATAATAATATTTATCCATCAGCTCCATCTATTGAAAAACAATAAATTCATTTTATTTCGTTTTTCATCGAAATTGTTTATCTCCGGTGTCGAATAACAATTTCATTGTTGAACATTAACAATATACACTTATTATTATCATACTCACCTTCATACGCCTTTATCTCAGTTGTTTTCAACAATATTTAGAATTAATAAACAAGCTCAAATTTATTTTACATAAAAAAATCTCTTAAAAAACATTTATTTTTATATTTTGCATAAATAAAACTCAACGTTAAAATGCCAAAGCTGAAATAAGATATTCATACAAATGGATTAAATATCGATAAAGTTAAATTTGTGAAAATGTATTTTTATAGAATTTAAAAAGAAAAAAGATGAACGAAATAAGCTAGCGGTGGAGCTTTTATGTTTGTCTATCTGAATAAGGATGTTTGGAATGATTTAGCCTTGAAATCAATTAAATTTTTTCAATTGGATCAGACCAATCGATTCGATTAAAGATTTTCCCGATTGAAAAACTGATATGTTTACATGTCTAAACTAACCTGGAAGTTCTTTTGAGAAATATTTTATTATTACATATCGATGAAGTCATACCATGTCAAACTCATAGAATTTTTTCACTTTCGAATAGAAACTATTTCTATTTTAGTTTGTTGCCTTTCATATATAATAATAACAAAGAAATAATTATTTCAAAACGTTTCATCTTATAACTGACAACAACTGATATCAAACAATATTCATGCTTTGCTTTATCTAGTTTTTCTTCAATAAAATTACTATTGATTTAGAATAATTGAGAACTTTAATATTTTCTTATTATATTTTTCAAGCGTTAAAACGGTGAAACTCTATAAAAATGAGAAAAATAAACTAAGTTGAGTGCCCTAAATATTGATTAAAAAAGTTAATGAAAACGGGCCGGTCTGATTTCAATCGTTAAATGAGTATGTCATTATGGTTTAGTGCATATCTTAAAATTGTAACAGTCAAACAAAATTTGGAACAGTTTTATTCAATAATAAGTTTGTTCATTAATGTTAAGTGTTTGAAAAAAAGAAAAACATGAAAAATTTTCTTCTGAAACCATATTATTTTCATTGGTGATTTTTCTTCTAAAGTAAATCTAATCGTGATTAAGTATATTGAAGATACTGTCTTTTATGCATTTCTATGTATACGTAAATTAAAGTTATGTCAGATTCAGTGAACGTAAATTTCATCGAGTCGAATAAATTATTTTAATTGACATGTTAAAATAATCTTTTCTATAAGATAATCTATTTCACTAGGAATTTATATGCGAATAAGTTTTTTTTTTTTTTTCGAAGATTCATTGAGTTCTTTCATAATTCAGTAAGATTTCGAAGAAAAAAGTTTTGAATAGGTCAAACCTATTATTTTGGATTGACTTTTACAAACAAAATCAAGTTGATCAAAATTTGAAATCTAATTACAATTAAACAGGTTCAAGAATATGATCAATATAGTACGACGTCAGGTTGACTAAATTGTTGACATATAACTTCAATGCAATATTCATTTATCAAATTCCATTGATAATCTTCATTTAACAATGATATCAACACTCAATTTTGATAATCAATGAAATTTTTGAGGATATATTTATGTTTTTCATTTTGTAGAATCTTCTAAACTGAAGTTAATAGATAATGATTATCTCAAAATGAAAAATTAATTTCAAAAAATAATTTTATAGTTGATCAAGTCTAGAAATATATAACCAGATAAACATTTTTTTCTAATCAAACCTTTTACGTATTCTAATCACTATAAAATCTATAAATGAAGAATATTTGAGGTTTTGATCAAACAAACTTATATTAATATTCTAGTTATGTATCATTTATATGTAGAAAATATCATTATATATGATAGAGATTAGTTAAAGATCTTTGCTTAAATATAGACTATGTATCGACTAAATAATAATTAAAAAGAATTTCTATAAGATATATAAATTAGCTATTGGTTTTTTTTTTTGTTGTTGAAGATTTATCAGATTTTATATAGTTTGATGAGTTCTTTTGATAAACAACTGATTAGAATTATTTTCATTCGATAAATTCTTATTAAAAAACTAATTAAAGATAAAATTAAGTCTGTGACAAATAGCTTGCTGACTCTGATCTTAATTAAGTTTTTGTTTTTCATAAGAATTTTTTTAATAAACACTTTTCAATATTTGAAATTGATCAAAATAAAATAATTCATTAGTTTTTACATTTTTTTTTCACAATTTAATCCATTGAGGATTAGGTTATCTTTAGGAAAACAATTAAATTTTTAAAGATTTTTCAAAAAAATTTCGTTCTCATATCCATCTAATAGAATCTTGTAAATAAAAGTTTCATCTCTGTATGAGTCATTGTTGACAAACTGAATATTTTTCGAAGAACTTTAGATATATTAAAAACATGAGAATAAGTTCGTGTGACGATATTGTTAAACAACTAGAAATAATGAAAGTCAACAATTTATCTTGTTAGAAATTCGATTTATTAGGAAAATGTCAGACGAACAAAAAAAAATGATATTTTAGTTGATTCGAAAATAGACGTATTAATAATTATTCCATCGTTTAGATATTAAACCAATCTCAACAATAATTAACGATTTAGAATAATTATCGAATTTTATTTGTTTGAAAAATAATTTTCCAAATAGTTAAAATAAAATGTTACGTTAAATATATTCTCTTAAATGTTGTTCAACTGTAACAGTAAAGTTTAATGAAATAAATGATTTAAAAAAATCGATAGATGATAATAAAGAGAGAGAGAGAATTTCACTGATGAAAAATATAAAAAAGCAAATATGACAAGTTAGATAAGTCATGAGTATCAAAAGAACGATCTTCAAATGTTTGTTCGTTTGAAAATGAAGAATTATTTTAATATCTATATGATACGTCGAATTATAATTTATTCTTTTAATAATTCAATGAATGGAGAAATTTGAAAGAATTATTTTTTTTTATTTAATTTAAGTAAAATAATTTCATATTAATTATTATTACCAGATTAACAATTAATCTATTTACATATTGACATATATGTATATAAACTATTAATCTCTACATTCAAATTTCACGGTTAATTTTCAAAATAATAAAATAAATAAAAAGGCAAGTTTGAATAATTTTGCGTTTGCAAAGAATATTTTCACACATGATATCATCATCAGAGAAAAGAAAAAATAATCAAAAACAAATGATAAATCATCATTGAATATCGAGTAGCGATCTATTTACATATGTTATTATAATAATTTATAGAATATTTGACATGCGATTGATTAGAAAAGCTAACCTAAGCTAATTTAGTTTTCTTAAGTATAAATTCGTTGAATATCGTTTTTTCTCTCAATTGAATTTGAGCCAACAAAACAAAGAAAGAATATTGAGAATTTTAAGACAGTTATAGTTCTTTATTAGCTTTAATAGATCGAATAGAATGTAAACAATTGAAGAAATCATCATCAATCATTAAGACCCATTGTAGTTGATTAAGTTATTACACTTTCAGATCTACTTTTTCTTTCATGTCTATAATTAGCTCCTTACAATTTCCCTTTTTACGATTGGTTTCATTGAATTCTTGTGAATTCTATTAGTTTCTATCATTTCTCAGATCCAGTAGAGTAGTCTGTCAGGCTTTTCAATGTTGTGTTTTCTGCAAAAAGAAACTAGACAAGAAAAATCTTTTGAATGATATGTGTAATCAGGAGTAGGATTTCTCGTTGCAATCTATCCTCAATCTAGTTGGTTGGTTACTCACCAAGGATAGACATTCAAACGCAATTTTTCTCCACCAGTGAAAGATGTGTTTACAACACATTTAGTATTTCATCTATTTTCACGTGGTTAAATAAGAGAAAAAGCATTTGAAATAAACCTTCAAACGCCGAACTCAATGGATGAAGTTTTTGTATACATATTTTTGAAAAGGTATCAGTTGTAATAATTGAATTTTAATTGATCAAAATAATTGCTAGGTGCCAGCTATCAAAACAATATTGCCATTGTTTTCGAATTTAACACATACACTATTACAAAGAGCATTGAAAAGGGAATAAAGTTAACTCTTTTTGTTTCATAATAAGTCGTTGAAATAAGAATTTTTAATATTTTTATCAATTTTTAATTAAAATTATATTAACAATTAAGAAAATTGAGTTTTTAGACGAGATTTCAGACTTGAATGTGTGCGGATGTGCAACGAAAAAAAGATGCACACCCATATCAATATCGTTTTTGTCAGTGTTATCTATTAGAAGACTGATTTCTCTGTTTTTGAAATAGATTTACTCGTTTTAATGAGTACATATGTTTGTCACATGTTTAAATACGTTTTTTTTCTTGACGGTGGGGATTTTATCTGCTTGAATGAGATATTTAAACACTAAGTTCTTCTATATGTTTATTTTCTAAATGGTCAAGAGGGAAAGTCATAAAATAGCATAGACTATATAGTTTGTGTTCCTCTTGTCTTCAATGATAGGAAATTCGATTAATGCAGTTCATAAATTGAAAACGACAACTAAATCCATTTGACAATATTTTTTCCACTAAAATCTTGTACTGCATTTGAAATATATGGACCAGCACCAATTTCATAAATACACATCACCGGACAATGGTCTGATACAGAATATCCTCCAGTACAAAATACATTTTGTAGTGCATTTGCTAAGATAGGACGTGCATATTGATTTTGCATTATCCAATCTAATGTTGTGCCAACTTGAATATCTTCTTTAGGTTCACTAGGACGTTGAGGATGTGTGATTGGAGTTGGCAATCGTAATTCAGCAAAGCAATCAACGAAGCCAGCTTCACGTAAAATTCGTCTTGGATGATAATTTTCATTTAAATCACCCATAAACAAGACTGCCAAATGAGGATTACTGAATTTAGCTGTTAAATCTTGTAAAGCGGTTACAGTGCGACGAGTTTGTTGCTTACGTAAATTGACATCAGTTTTTCGCTCTTCTTCATGACCTTCCCATGTGTA